TGAGCTACTGGAACTCAGCCCTGAGAGAAAGCACAAAGGATCATGCAATGGAACAAAAGCGTGTCTTTTAGCACTCTCCTAGAAAATTACACTGAAGTCAGGTGGTGAATCTCTCCTTTCTGTGTTTCTTGACTAACAAGAATTTTCACTGTACCAGATGGCAAAAGAAAAACATTCAGTGTCCACACCATGAGCAGAGACCAGGCAAAAGAATGTGGGATGGAAAATTGACAAATCAAAATGAGCTAACCATTTTATCAGTCAATATTGCTTTATCTTGCATCACTGCCTCTGAATCTTTATCAAATATGCTTCATGATAGTTTACCCCAGAAATTTAAAAAGGGGAATGATTTACCCATTAGACCCTACTTCTCTTTGGTCAAAGTTTACCTTATGACTTCTTAATTTCTCCCCCACATCTGGGTTGTATGTGCATGGGTACTGACTTTGATGTCTCATGCCCTGAGAGTCAGCCCCAGAGCAAAAACACAAGAGATGTCCAGTGATGGCATATCATAAGAGTTTTCATTCAAGTTCCCCTGTATTGATCCAGACAATGATTGGATAGGCCTGGGTATCAGCAACTTAAGGAATGTGTGTGTGTGTGTATTTTTTTTTTTTTTTTTTGGTCTTTTTTGAGATGGTGTCTCCCTGTAGCCCGAGCTGGCCTGGAACTCACTGTGTAGACCAGGCTGGCCTTGAACCCACAGAGATCCGCCTGCCTCTACCTCCCAAGTGCTGGGACTACAGGCGTGTGCCACCATGCCTGGCTAAGGAAGATATATTTTGACTCAGTTTAGGTAGTGTAAATCACATTGGGAAGGCATTGTGGGGGAAGTATAAGGCAGGCACGCCTGGCTAAGGAAGATATATTTTGACTCAGCTTAGGTAGTGTAAATCACATTGGGAAGGCATTGTGGGGGAAGTATAAGGCAGCTGGTCCTGCTGTGTTCACGGTAGGAAGCAGAGAGAGATGAATGTTGGCATTAGCTAGCTTTCTCCTTTCTCTGTCTTTATTCAGTCCAGGCTCCCAGCGCATGGGATGGTGTGACCCATATTTAGGGTGAGTCTCCCTTTTCAGTTAAAACTTTCTGTAAATACCAACATAGGCATATTCAAAACTGTTCCACACCTAGACCCCTCATACTATAAATCCTAACCATAGAAGTCTGGTTGCTGCAACACTGATTGGAAAATGAGGTTGAGTGGTTTGTTAGTGATGCTCTAGAAATAAGTGGTTCGTGAGGTAAACACAAAGCTGAGTGTTCTATCCCAGAAGGCATGTAGGTTCACAAATTTAGTCTTCTCAAGATGAGACATGTGGATCATGACTCCTGCTGTCCTGAGAATCTATGCTTGGCCTTTTTTTTTTTTTTTTTTTTTTACTGCTGGTGGTGATAAAATGTGTTAATATGTTACTCTTTTTTATTCTTTTATAATCTCATACACGCATATAATGTGCTTTGATCAAATCCACCCCCATTCCCTCTTCTTCAATACCTTCCTTATCCTCCCATCACTTTCCCCTCTCAACTTCACGTATTCTCTATTTGCTTTGAAATCCATTGAGTCTACTTAGTGCTGTCTGTATGTGCATGCATGTAAATCCATCTACTGGAATATGAGTAGCTTTCAGGGTCAGCATCCTTGAAGAAAGCCCCATCCTTCTCTCCCAACAGCTATCAATTGCCAATAGCTTTTCAGTTAGGCATGGAACTTCATGAACTCCTCCCCCATGCATGCTGGATTTTGGCTGGCTTGACTTTGTGCCTGTCTTGTGCATGCAGTCCCAGGTGCTGTGAGTTCATGTATGCAATGGTGTTTTCATGCCCAGAAAACTCTGTTTTGCTACAAACATCCATTGCTTCTTGCTCTTACAGCCTTTCCACTCCCTCTTCCCCATGATGGTGTGGTGCTAACCGTGACTATAGAGCAACCATGAAATCACACAACACCATTGCATACATGAACTCACAGCATTAAGTAGACTCCATGGGTTTAAAAGAAAATACCCAAAGGTATTTTAATTACCATCTCAAAGAGATTCCTGCTACCTGAAATTTGTTACAGTACTGTTTGTGATAGCACCTTTCCTAATCCATGTATGTTACACACACAAATCTAAAGCATTATTCATACTCAAGAAAGAATGGAACTAAGATATTTATGATCAAACAGATAAAATGAAGGACACTGTACTAAGTGAAACAGACCAGGCAGAGGAGGGTGAACACCCATGATTTGGAATCTGACAATGTCATATTCGTGGAATGTGAAAGTGACAGTGTTGCTTGAGAGAGGTGAAGTTTTAACTTTGAATGTTTCTGTTTCACAAATTTTATAGCTTTAGCTTTGTTTTTATACTTTTAAAATAAATGTTCATCTCATATAAAGACACATTTAACATTAAGTGAGAAGTTGAGATTCACTTTACATTTTTATACAGATATTTCATCCTAAAAAGTTTTTTTTTTCTGTCATTGAATTGCATTGATTCCTCTACTGATAGTTAACTTAATGCTTAGAGTTATTTCTCATTTGTTAATAATTTTTTGCTAATGAATTGGGCTGTCTTTACATAAATCCAAGTCCAACTTTAGTGGCTGTGAGATACTTGACAAATGTTTAGAAGGATCTGCTTGCATAAGCAAGTTCATTAAAATTGTGTTGAAAAGTCTGCTAATCAAAATGAGTTACAGTTATTTATAGGTGAAGATTTAGAGTGGTAAATACAAATTTATTTGTTATATTATTATGCTAGGACTTATACAATAAAGTATACAGAATGACTTAAATAGTAGAATTTCATTGTGCCACAGTTCTGGAAATGTGAGGTCCAAAGTCAAGGTGTCAAGAGAATTGATATATTTTCTTGCCTCTAAGAGATATTTTTTTTCTTGCATCTCTCCTAACCTCTGGTCACTTGAAGGAAATCTTGGACTTTAGATGTATTGATCTGGTATGTCCTAGTTCACACAGTATTAATGTATTTACATAAAGGTTCCAGCTATTCTGGAAGCACAGTTCACTATAGTCTGATACAACGTTTTGTTTCCTTTACTAATTCTATGTGCAATGACCTTATTTTTAAGAAAGGTCAATTCTCCATGTTAGGAGGGCTCAATTAACTAGCAACAATTCTACAGCTGGGGTACAAACATTTTCTTAGCTTTGTTTGCATCATGTATGGCATCCCAACAATGTTGATACAATTTTCCCTGAAATTACAGGAAGGTAGATTATAGACATAAATTTTTCCCTTTTAGCCAGATGTGATTTTATCAGAATGTGATGAAGAGCCCAAATGGTGAGTGAAGAATGCTTAGTCACTGACAAGATGTGAGGCAAGAGTTGAGGCACAGAGTCTAAACCAGAGTGGGAACCAATGGCTGAGGGAGTGAGCTCATTTCCAAGACAGTCGCTGTCATTCCCATATCCCAGGAAACTGTATTTGTACCCACGTCAACTCTGAATGCATTAACAACACCATCTTCAGTCCTAAGCAGTAGATACAAGTGATATAGACCACAAATAAATTTTCTAACAAAGTAATATACTAAGTCATATACATAATGATGTAGAGTTAGGATAAAAACCTATGCTGCAGGAATTCAAGGGCACTGAAAGACAACAAAAATACCATGTGAGGTTGAGAAATACAATCATCTTGGGAGCAGAAACAACTATATAAGGTGTAGATCTTAAAAGTAGATAGAAACCTCTCTTATTCTTAGTCTTCCACCTTAGTGAATGGTTGGAATTCATGATGTAAGCTGATTTTGCATCTCTGTAGAGTCTCATTACCTGTCTTCCTGTGCTTTCACTAGGATGCCCAGAGGATTCATATTAACATGAAAGACCTGGAAATCGGGAGCCCAGGAGATTATACTTGAGACCAGGAAGGGAGAAAACCTGCCCATATTCAGGTGTAGAAGCTAACACCAGTGAATTTTAGTGTTACTAAATTCCACTACTGGGAACTTTTGGCCATAAATAAGCTGAACACTACAATAGGAGACATAGATATTCAGGGGTGCATTTGTCTGTCAAAGTTTGCTCCAATCAACTTACTAGTTCCAAATTATGGTGTTGAATTTTACATACTTCTTTATATACTTCTTCTCTTTTAATTTTCGAAGACCTTCACCAGATCCAAAGCTGCATGCTTCCTTACAGCTCTTGACTTGCTTCCATGGTTTCATCTGTCTCCTCCCCACTTTCCATTTGAGGAACCAGGTTATTAAGGAGCATGCTATCATCTTCCAAAGGTAATCTGAAAGATTATTTGCCTTGGCTTTTGTAGGAAAGAGAGTTGAACTATTCAAGTGAAATGACCCAAAGGAAGCATGCTTTAAGATTGCAATTCTAAAGTAAATTATTATCTAACTGTGCTATTAGAATTTTTAAAACTTTCCCACAACTTTAAAACTTAGAATATATTTTCCTTACAAGAGATTTTTCTTCTTCTTTATTCCCCCCCCCAAAAAAAATGTCTTTCATTCCAAAATCCATTTTTCCCCTAAGAGATTTAGATTTTGCAAACAAGAGAGCAGTTCTTCAGTTTTCTTAATACTCTTTGTTAGTGGCCTCAAGAAAGAGTGTCTCCATTTCCTTCTATTATAAATACAGCAGCAATGAACACGGATGAGCAGGTATCTCTGTAGTAGGATATAGTGTCCCTCGTGTATATGCCAAGGAGGGGGATTTAAGATTGTAAAAATAATGTCTTCGATTTAATATCCTATATAAGATGAATTTCCTTCTATTCATCTGAACTATTCAGTGCTTTAATACAGAAAAAAACTTACATTTTTCTTATAATGATAAGCACAGTTTATTGAATTTATACTAGCCATAAAAGCTCTCAAATCTCTCAGCCTAGGTATCTTGAAAATTGCTCTTTTTCCTTTGGAGGGATGTCAGCTACCTTGATGAAGTGTCAAAGCTTGTTGATTATGTCCTTAGATCACTGGCCTGGAAGTGTTGAGGGTATTGAAATCATTGCTTCAAAGTTTTTTTGTTTTTTGTTTTTTTTTCCCCACAGAATCCTTGGATAACCCTGTCCCTGATCTGTTTGGTTCTAACTCCATAGATGATGGGGTTGAGCATGGGAGGAACCAACAGATATACATTAGCAAACATGACATGCACAACTCGGGGCACGTGATGGCCAAAGCGGTGAGTGAGGAAAGTGAACAGGGCTGGGATATAGAAAGCCAAGATGACGCAGACATGGGAAGCACAGGTACCAAAAGCTTTGAGGCGGGCTTCACCTGAGGGCAACCTCAGCACAGCTCTCAAAATCATCACATAGGATCCACTGATGACAATTATATCAAAGCCAACCACAGAGAAGGCCACAAAGAGCCCATAGCCACGATTGACTCTGGTATCTGCACACACCAACTTGAGCACAGCCATGTGCTCACAGTACGACTGTGGAATGACCTTGTTGGGGCAGAAGGGCATCCTGGGGATCATGAAGCAGAAGGGGCTCACCCACAGCAGCCCTCCCACCATCACGGCTGTCCCCAGTTTGATTACTACAGATGTGGTCAGGATACTGGAGTGTCGCAGGGGGAAGCAGATAGCCACGTAGCGGTCCACGGCCATAGCCATGAGCACCCCAGACTCCACAGAAGAAAAGGCATGGATGAAGAACACCTGGATGAGGCAGGCATGATACTCAATCTCATGGGCATGAAACCAGAGTATGGCCAGCATCTTGGGCTGTGTGGAGGAGGACAGGATCAGGTCAGTGGTAGCCAGCATGGCCAAGAAGAGGTACATGGGCTCATGTAGGGTGTGGTCAGTTCTGATTATATGCAGGATAGTGATATTCCCAACAACTGCCACAACATACATGACACAGAACGGAAAGCCAATCCATAATTGGTAATTTTCCAGTCCTGGGATTCCAAGTAAGATGAAGAACACAGGGTAGGAAGAGTTGCTATTTGAAGCGAACATGAGAGGATGGATATGTTGTCAGCAGTTCAAGGTAGTCTATCCTCTGTGATGGGAACTGAGTAAATGGTTGTTATTGTTTTTAAATCTTTTGAATAATTCTATTGGATTTATGTTTAAACAAAAAGTTAAACCATATTAACACATGATACTTAGGAATATGAAAGAGTACAACTCCCCACTTTATTCATATGTCATTCAAAAGTTTGGAACATATGGGGCTGGAGAAATGGCTCAGTGGTTAAGAACACTGACTGTTCTTGCAGAAGACCCAGGTTCAAATCCCAGCACCCATATGGCAGTTAAAAATTGTTGGAAACTCCAGTCCCAGGGGATCTGACAGCCTCTTCTGACCTCCATGGGCGTTGCATGACATGGGTGCACTTACCTACATGCAGACAATACACATATGCACATAAAATAAAAATAATAAATAAAATATTTTTTAAAAGTTTGGAACATATTATCTGCAAATGTAATTGTGTTCTCAAGGTAGTTTTTTTTTAATATAAATGTAAAGTTTACTATTGGAAATATATCTTGACAATGTCTTGGTTTTGTCTTTTTGTTATTTACGAGGACAAGGGTTGCTTAATTTTTGCCTCTATATCATTCTTATCCTTCTGTTGAATCATTTTGACAATATTTCAGGACAGCACTGCTTAAAGGACCATATCTGTTTAATGATACTAAATTAACTTCAACTCTAAGAGAAAGCCCAAGAAGGTTTAGGTTTGAACAGAGGCAATTGACTGAAGGAACACCTGTAATTAAACACGATGTCTTCAGTATATGTATTCTCCTTGATTAGAAGTCAGCAAATGTTCTAGTTAAAGGTCAGTTCATAAATATTTCTGGCTTTGTAAGCAGTATTGTCTCTGTTGCAATTTACTAGATTAACCTGTTTGCGTAGTTTAAGACAGGGTTTCCCTCTAGCTCAGCTGGCCTGGAACGTGCTATACAGTCCAGGCTGGCCTTGTTCTCACAGAGATCATTTGCCTCTGGGATTATAGTTTGTTTCACCTCACCCAGCTTAGATTAACCATTGAAGTGAGAAACGGACTTAGTCAATTCATAAATGTATTATGTTTCCATGTATTCCAATAAGGTTTTGCTTTTTAGAAAAGGTTTTAAACTGAATTTGTTCTTCAGGAACCAATTTACCAGCCCTGTCCTTTATGACAAGTCAGCCTTGAACCAGTAGTGTGTCTGTCACCTCTGTGCCTCATACAAAGCAGGAGTTTAATAAATACTTGTTATCAGGAATGACAAATGAACGTAACTATTCAGTAGTTTCATACTTACTGACTGGCTAACAGTATCCTAAATGTCCTAACAGAGCTCATGGAATCCATTTTTAAGTGACACCCATAAGAAGGGTTTTCTGTTATTCGAGAAACCGCCTTCCTTCAGTGTATTTTGGGAACAAAATCTTGTCTGTGCTTGAATATATATATATATATTATAGATAATATATATATATATATATGTTGGCTTACTATGATTCTACTGTGAACTGCAAGCCTCTTCAGATTGAATTGTGGAAGAGTTCTGACTTGGTTCTTAGCATTTTTTTCTACTTACTCTCGGTTGTGTTGTGTCATCTTGGTTTGAAAGCTTTAGTTATTATCCTTCTATAACAGAAAAATCCTAGCCAAAATAAATGTTTCATCCCTCTTACAAATCACCTCTAGAAATTAGCAAATAGTTCATCTTACTAGGCCAAATGGAGCCCTAAAACTGGTTTTTTTCAAGATGCCAAATGTGTCTAACTCTTTCTAATTCCTTAGAGTTATTATAATAGAAGAGAAATGGGGCTCAGAATTTACAATCCATGCACTAAATTTCACTGTCTTGCATAGATAATAGCTAGAGGTTTGCTCAAAACAAATTCTGCTGCTTAGAGGGTGGTGAAAATTCATAAACACACAATTGCCTGGGACTCAGTGTTTGTAATTTGCTTTCTTTTTTCAGGTCTCATTGTCTCAGTCTTTAAAATTCCTGTTTGAGCCACATTTTGAGCTCACTTGTTCCTGGCCCATTATATGACACAGTTAGCTTATTAGGACTTAGTCCTTGAGTCTCACAGCCTCTCTGCAGAACATTTTTAGAACTTCTCTGTTCTGGTTTAAGACATTGGAAGAGATACTAGTTAAAAATACAACTTCTCACTGTGAATGATATCTAATTGACTGGAATGTATTGCTGACTTCTGAGTTCTTGCATTACATAGTCTTAAAATTAATTGTTTCTAACTCAGGAAAATTTATGCATTCTCATTCTCATTACGCATTCTCAGAAAAATTAAGTTACAGGTCATTAAATGATTTCATTAGGATCACATACTAAATCTGTGGCAAAGAAAACTAGCCCCAAAGCCAGGACCCCTGGAAATAAATGTTGCTGCCTTGATCAGTATTAAGTTATTGGGTTTCCCTCCCTGGTTAGAGATTGGTGCCCCAATGCTACAAAGGCTGATATAAAGGGGACTTGCACAAACATGTACTGAATTGGAGGCACATGTGCATTTGAACTAAAATCCCTGCTACTTCATTGGACCAAACCCCAGCTTTACTGGCTTTTCTCAGACATGATATTTCTTCTTGACTTCTGTCCTTGAGGCTTAATTCAGGAATCACCCATTCTGTACATTTCTGGAGGTTGTTCAGTCCCTCTCCATCAATTTTCCGGCTACCCAAACTGAGCAACCTCTTTCCAAACCCAATTTATTTGTCTCTCCTCCTTCATTATAAACTACCCTCAACAGTGGATTTTCATGGGAAAGACACCCCTTAGTACATGCTTACCATTTTATTTTGCTAGCTCAGATCTCCTTCTTCAGATTTTCTTGCATGAGTTACCATGGTAAAATGAAGCCAAATAGAGACCCAAGTGTGGCGTGTGAATTAGGGTCATTGCTAGCTGTTTCTGTTTCTCTCCTTGGGTTGTAGGAGGTCTAGTGCCTTCACTGTCAGAAATTATCTTTCCTGTTTTGCCCCTCACAGACTTCAATCTAAAGACATGAAGGTACATGTCATGGAGAGTAAATAGGCGTTTGACCTGGCCAGTATTGTTCAGTGTAAGTGAATTTCAATATGGAAACACAGATTACCAGGTTACTATTAGCTTTGAGAGTCAAAACATGCATTTTGTAAGCTGTAGGAAAAAGAACAATGTAATTTCCCTTTGGGAAACACCCTTACCTTCTCTGACTTGCTATTAAATATGTTCTTTAACTTTTTTGTAGGTTAGAGCTCTCATGATAATAATGATGAGATTGAGTCATATACTTTGGAAGCATTATAGCTAGAATGGTCACCCTTTGAATTTGAAACTCAATTTTCAAGTTCTTTTAAATAAAATCCAGCTTTGTATAGAATTTGGTTGAGGAAATTGAACTATAAGAGCTATATCCTCAAATTTAGTACAACTCAACTTTCATCACTGGATGGATTTGAATGCAAACATGGTATCCACTGGTTCTGTGCGACTTCCTTTATTTCACCTACATGCAGAAATATTTGTGTTCATCAGTCAAAAGTGGTGCTGAACCTAGCTAAAAGGTAATAGATAAACTAGGATAAGAATAGACTCAGAGAAACCCTTACCCCGATTTCTCACTTTAGTGTATTTAAGTTATATTTTAAAGTTTTAATAATGGGGCCCATTAGGTCCAGCTGAAAACTCCTTCCTGGAGGGGTTGTCTCTGGACTAGTCTTCCTACCTTTATAAGACTCACTTCCTATCACAGGGTGAAGTTCAGCGTGCACAGGCCCCTGGAGTTCAAGATCCCAGGGAAGCGTACATAAGTCATTGTCTTCTGCCTGTTGAAGACTCGGTGAGGCCCATTACTCTCTGGGAAATGCCCTTCACACAGAAAATCCCTCACCCTGACGCCTTCTCTTTTATTGACCAAGCTGAACAAGACCACATGGATCTCTAAAAAGCCTCTGGGATTCAGCTTTTGGGAGCGCCTTTAGGTCAGGGTCTATATGAAGGTCTCTGCCTGGCTTTTCCTTTCCCTTGATAATTAATTCTCTCCCCCTTCTTCAGGCTCTCTGCCTCATATTCACATTAGCTTCCTCTGAGACTGGGCACTGAAGCTGGAGACATTAACCCTTAACTTTTCTTTCTCTTCTGAGTAAATGAATGAAAAGGATGAGGATTTGAATGCATATGCAAGGTGTGTTGTGATTATGTGACTGAGTGACAGAACCATGCATCATTTGGTTAATCTGCAGGTATATATTTATGATGAAAGGAATTTGCAGTTTGAAAATGTATTTCATGTATGTTGATGTGGCTATGTGAAGTTTGTTAATAAATCTCTCTCTGCCTCTCTCTCTATATATATACATAAAAAGTTATCAAGTTTATATATGTATATATGATTGACCTAGAATATATACACATATTTATATGCAAATGTATGAAAATTATTTACTGTAGGCCAGGATAATTAGAGTAATACTATAATTTCTAAAAGAAGGGTCACTGAGTGCATATGCTCTGTGAGTGCATATACCTAACTCCATACTGACAGTTTGCGACACACATCAATGCGTACACATATAAGCACATATGATAAGATACGATTTATCTCTTCTCTCTATATATATGTCATATATACATCATGTGTGCTTGTAATCTCACAGTGCTTCGGTATATACTGAGGTAGCTGTGCCAAGGCCTGTGTCTTTTGAGGAGGTGATCATCCAGAGAATAAGAGGAATTCCAGTGGCTATTCTTTTCTGAATCTTTCTGAAGATGGAAGGCCCTTGTCACTCAACATGAACACTTAAAACCTACACAGTGTTCCTCTATCCGAATCTCTTTTAGGACCTTGATGGTTTCAGTCTTATTTATTGGTTTCAGACTATCTTAAAATGTGAAAATGTGAAAGGGAGGTGAGAGTAAAGCATTTAAAAACCCAAAGGAAGCTAGGCATGGACATTCATACCTGTAATCCTAGCATTTGGGGGGTTGGGGCAGGAGGATTGCCACAAGTT